GACCCCCTGAAATATTACACAGCCAGCTGCAGAATAATTGGTATAAAAGGATGGGTGGTATCCGATGTGTTATCCTACATGTCTTTTAGTTTATATTCAGCACATGCAGTCCATGCTTTTACTCTGTTATTTATTCTTTCATATGTTGTTACATATGCCGTAGTGGTGTCCAGCACTCGCCTCGCCAATTCTGTAGTTTAGTTTTAAACGAGTCCATCATTCTGTTATTTCCTATTTTGTATGAAAATTCATGCTTCGTCTCAATATGAGTATTCTCTGACTCAATGTTGTTTATATCCTCTGACATTTAATGCTTTCCTTCTACCAGGTGCGAGTGGTTTCTCCATATAGAGACTTCTTCCAAATTATATCTCATTCATTGCGTCTTCTACACCTTGTACCACGGGGTAATGAGTTAGTATCCTCCTAAGAACTCTGTCCACTCTAATTCTGCTGACATGTTAAAGATTAATTCATGAAAAAGAATACCAGATGCTGAACTTCATGTTTAACCAGAATCCTCATCATAAAGGATCTGGAGCGGACGGAACCCAAATCCTGCATTTCTTGAGAATAATGCATGTAGATAGTATGAGTGGCCTGTGATTTATAATCTCTTCTCTACATCTAGAGTGCATGGATGAATTGTCGAAAGCATGTGCTCTTGGTTGTATTTTAATTGATCTTAGAACTTCAACTAAGAACCTGTTGCCTTGGAATCTCAATTGGCATAATTTGTGGCCATTTTGTCTGGATAACATCTTTAGGTCTTGGTTCTTTATAAAAAACATCTTTAGGTCTTGGTTTTCCTCGTGAATTGGTTCTGCCACATAATTAGTAGTCTTATATGACAGTAGGGATTTTGGAATCCCTTTATTATCATTATTGTTCTTTTATATATGAAATGTGGGTACGCTTTATTGCCCAAACTTCTCGATTACTGTTTCAATATTTGTCGTCTTCTGATGAGGCGGAAAGAACTTCCCAACTTCGCTGGTTGTATCCACCCCGTTCGAGACGCCCAGCCTTCCCCTTTCAGACTCCCATGCTTCCGTACCCTCTGACTATCCCTTCCCAGAAATCCACCTCCACACGATTCCGGGCTGCTTCCACACGCAAAATTCCCCCTGTCATAAGAAAAAACCCCTTCGTCTTGCCTCTTTCCGCTGAGTTCCTCCCCTACAAATCCATCTCCCACACTCTACCTTTAACAGTCACATCCCTCCCAATTTCCATCCATCCAAAATCATCTGTCCACCTCTTTACACCATGTGCATTTTCTCCCACCACCATCCATTCCAATCATCCAGCCTTCCTCTCATTCATATCAAAAACTTTATTTATCCCTCCTCTCTTCCAACTCCAATCGCCGGGGCATAAATCCTAGCAACAGCGAGAGTGAGAATCCACCATTGGCTCCGGGGAGGACCAACTTCAGCTAGGTCAACTGGGTTCCGTTTTGTTCTCTTAGCCCTTCGAATCCAGCACCACCTGGCAAACATGGAAGTACTGCCCCAACTGCAGACTCCGCTTCCGGCTAGGCCATTGGTTAGTTTTCTTTGATTATCCTTCAATCTTCAGGTGCTTCTGCGTTTGAGGCTTCACAAAGGCTAGGAGGCACTTAAATTTAGGGAATGGCAACTCGAGAGCAGGAAAATGCAGTGTCAAGTCAATTCTTACAGTGGCTGTCGTGGTGTTATTTTCAGATAATCTCGCTCTGAGATATGTTTGTAGTTTGTAACAATGGAAAACTATCCAAGGTGCGGAAAGTCTTGAGTTGTTTAGCACTTGGTATTTCATGGTTTACTTAGCATGTGATACATCCTTCTTCAGTTGTCTCTCTATTTCTTAATGTTGTTTGGTGATGATGTTTGGTTCATTATTCATTTCACTTTGTTAGAGCCTAGAAGTAATCTATTTCTTTTTTTGTTTATTTCAACCCCATTACTGTTAATTGAGATTTCCACTAATTGATTATAAGTTCCCCATTCCTTACAGCAATGATTGATCCCTTTCTGTTTCACTGCCATTCTTAGGTTTTCCACTAATTTATTATAAGGTCCTCATTGTCTGTGTTTGCACTTGATATAGAACCTGTAAAGCATCATCGGTATGGCCTCCTCCACTACCGAATCACTCGCTCGGTAAGCTCTTGGCACAGACAAATACAACAGCGAACCAGTTATTGGAGCTCCAATCCAACACACTTGAGCCCTGTTTGATTTAGGCATAGTTGTCGTGAAGAGAACCTGCAAAAATTGATACAATTGAGCTTCTGAGATTTCTTATTTGCTTTGTACACTGATCATTTGAGCTGCTTTTGTACCTTCTAGAAGACAGGATTATCAAATTGCTGAGTATTAGTTACTCCAATATTATTGTTGATATTCTTTATATACAACCAGATGGTTTGATCTTGGAAACTTAAACTGATTTTGCATATGGTACTTTACAGGTGAAGGCATGAAAATAAGAAGGGAAGCATAAGGCGGAAACCCTTACTCAATCTCATTTTATTCAAGAAAGAGAAATCCTTAAATCAGGAGAGAGCAATGTATTTGTTTAGATGCCATTACAGTACATATCAAGAACCCTACTAATACCACTTCCAAAATCGTGTTTTCTTATAAACATAAACTAATTCTAGATATGCTACTTTACAGGTAAAGGCATGAAAAGGAGGGAACCATAAGGAGGAAGGCCCTAAGGCATAGGAGCAATCTCATTTTCTTCAAGCTAGAGAAAATTAACCTCAAATCAGGTTATTAGAATAGGAGCAATGTATTTGTTTAAATGCCATGAGAGTACAAATCAAGAACTCTACTATTACCACTTCTAAAAAAGTGCCTATGCAGAAAGAGCAAGAATGTTGCATCTCCTTTGGCTTTATCAACAAAACCAGCTCGGCCTCAAACTTCAGTTCATACGAATCCAGTTTCCATACCAAGGTCAGTTCCTGCTCATGTTTACCTCTTTTGAATCCCATCTTTGATGTGGAAACCCTTACTCTTGACATGGGCATGGATGTCGGCCAATCAGAACTGTGCCAGCTGAACTGGAAGCAGAGTAGTCACTAGTCAGCCATAACTTTTCAGAGTATGAATGAATGAAATTTGACTACACCAGTATCTATTAGTTTTTGTCCTTCTGTTGAGGATTTGTTTGGATGATGGTATTGTGATTCTGTTATGGATTCTTAATTTAAATGTCTTAAGAGAATACATGCATTGCCCAGTGCTGGGCTTTCTTGCTGTTTTAACTTTTAAAGATGATAGCGTAGGGGATATTGGACTTCCCTGGCTGTTTCCTTACAGCTTATGGTATCCGAGTGCATGAGATCCAAACATTCTGTAGAGTTGGTCTTGAGTTTTGACCTCACACGGTTAAACTTTGATTGCGCGTTAATTTGGTTTACTCTAAGTTTCGTATGTACTTTCTCATTTATATCCCTTTGTTTCCTTTTGAGAATTGTTTGTTCAAAGGATTCTGAAGTCAGATTATATATGGGTTGGCACTTGGATGGTAATGTTGTTGTGCATCTCTTTATCCTGTCAAGTATCCACTTTAGCTATTCTCACAGACCAGGTTCTTATCGTCCATCATTTTGTATGTTTTATTTGCTTGCCCTAGCGAACCTAACACCACCATGCTGTTTCTCATTCTTATTTTCCCTTCAATAATTTTCCTCAGCTACATATGTTGCTAATACATCTGAAGTTGGGCCTGATGTTGTTTGTTATTTGACCATCCAAGTGCACGTGTTCGAGTTCTGGCCCAAGTAGCTTTCAAGTGGAAGGTGGATTCAATGGAAGCTCTATCGGTTGTGTCTTCTAAAGCTGCACTTGGTGACGATGTTGTTGAAGTAAAGCGTTTCGGTTTTATTGTTGATGTTGTTACTGCTAAATGGATAGTTGAGCGTCAAATTGCTGTTACTTCATTGTATTGTTGAAAAACTAATGTCATTTTAGTTAATAAACACAAACATCTATACATTTCATGGACAATTTAGAATGTTTTCCCTTCGTTGTCAATCAGATATACTCTATTTATCTTTTTCTTTTCAGATGCTGCAGATCTTAAGTTCTCCTTTCAAAAACTAATGTGCAAGCTCTTCTTTTTAGTAGTTGAGGCAGACTATTGAGTATTTTCTTGGTAATGTTTTCAGTGTGATGTTTGCTCCTGCCATTTCAAGTCACCGACACACCATTGATTGACATATCTATTGCTAAGAAGATGATATGGTTGCAAATTAAGTCCCCGCGGCGTAGCCGTGGGTGTTGATTCTAGTTTTGGGTAATTATGAAGTGGCAAATTTTCATAAACTCATATTTCTATTTGAATCCATTCCTGATGCCCCTAGGATAACTCTCGTTGGTCAAATTTATGTCTCCTTGCTGATACCTTATCCATTTGTTTGCTTCGTCAGAATGGGCTCTTTTTGTGATGAAGGATTTTGCTGAACAATATCGGTCACTGAAACCTTCTCTGTCTGTTGATATGATCTCTCTCGTGGGTGACAAGGCAGATAATATTCCAGGTCATCTTTGCACTACTGTGATTAACTGTATCTATTCTCCCTAAATCGAGAATAAAAATATACACTCTTTTCTATGACATGCCCTCTGCTTACAGTGAAGTATTATTATGTTTATATTCATACAGCAGTAGATGGTATAGGTGACGTCCATGCTTTGCAACTAATCAATAGATTTGGTAAGAACCAGTTGTACCTGTCGCCATCCATTCCATTATATCAAAGCATGACATATATGCTGCACAAAATCTCTTTACATTAGAATCTGGATTCCATATGTTGTTTCAGAGGCGTCTCTGGCAGCTACTGCAGGATTGTTCTTTCTTCATTTGAGACTTCTTAATCTTTTGTATGTGATGGTAATATTCTGCATCTGCAAAGAGCTTACTGATTTTTGCAGGGACACTGGAAAATCTGCTGCAATGTGTTGATCAAGTTGCAGAGGAACGGATAAAAAAGGTAGAAGCTTTTAGTTTAGATTTTAATTGGTATTTTTGCATCTATTTCATAGGACCTGATAACACATGCTGATCATGCTGTACTAAGCAAGGAATTGGTAAAATACAAGACAGCCTTGCCTCCTCTCCTACTGCTTCTCTTCCTTATTACAATGTGTACACATGTTTGTTGGTGGTGGCAGCCATTCTACGATGTGATCTTCCAGACTACATGTTCAACGAAGACCTGGAGTTTAGGAGACCAGAGGTCTGCACAATTGCTTTGAGTTTCTTTTCTATGATATTTCCTCATGCATGCCCAGTCCAGATCTTAGGAATCATGAGGCATCGTGCTGCTAATGAAATCTGTTTTGGCCTTTGGGGTTGACTTGAATCAGTGTACATACAGGACAACGGGAAGAAATTTACTAGCCTTCTGAATGCGATCAGTGCTTATGCCAAAGGATTATCAGCTGATCCAGTCATTAGAAGAGCTTCGTACCTCTGGAAGAGGCTTGATTCTATGTGACCTCTGCTTCACAGCAGCCCCAAATGTGTATACACCAAACTCCCCAAGACATTTCAGTGACTATGAAATGTTTTAGCGCACCATTATGAGTACCAAGCTGCAAAGTTTGCAGGAGATGTAGTACCAAGACAAAGCGGCACATAGTTAGTATAGATAGATGTCGTCAAATCATTGGATAGATGGATATGATTGTTACGAGGGAGGTTAAGTCTATTAACCCAACTAAATGAGATGATCAGTTATCGACAGTTGGGGATGGCTGCGGGTAAGTGGGTACCCTTGGATGAACATAATATCTATCATGCAGCCTCAATGCTACCTAACCCCAGCTATCGTCTTCGATAGGGAACATTGGCAATGTCATGGCCCTCATCAGCTTATCTATGGAAGGGTGGAGAAGCTGGAGGGCATCGATAGGAATTCTTGGTATCTGTCTCATCATATTGATAATCAGACTAGACTAGACTCAGCAATTAGGGGTAGAGGAAGTTGCTCGCCCTGTCAAGAGAGGTAAGTGGTGGTCATGGTATATTGAATAACTACCGTGTTTCCAACCCTCTGCAACTTAGAAAGCAAAATAAGATCCCCATCTGCAACTCGAAAGTTTCTCATTCTCAGTATGGAGACATCCGCAGAAGAGGTCCAAGGCATTGCGAAAATACATAAAGCACTGTTTAAACAAGTCGACGGCAGTTAAACAAGCAGAAATGTTGACATCAAAGTTTGTGTAGTTGTATCGATATCCACTCAGTCAAGTAGAAATGTCAACCCCGATTTTCTTCTACCCTGAAAATTGATAAATCAACATTTACATTACTTCATAACATACTAGATCTACATAACCGTTATCAAAATAAGTTGAATTCGTTGTACTAACTTTTGCTACTCGAAGATGAAGACGTCTTCTTGACATAATACCTCGTGTAACAAATCAAAGAACTTGGGCCAGGTCAATGCCAATTTCTTATATATGTCTTCATCATATGATTGAACCTATATATACAGAAACAATCTCTTTTGTCAATAGTTAAAGATTATATATATATATATAATAATAGCCACAATTTCTTGAATAGGAAGACACAACTGTTCCTAATACCTTCTAACATCATCATCAATTAGAAGTAAAGGAAAAACAAGTAATTAGCAAAAATCATATTTCTTACCACTTGATCATTAGCATCTAACTCCAGGTAATGTAAAGCGACATTCTTACAGTAGTGTAGGAATGCTGAAGCATTAGAAAGGCCGGCCGTATTCCTTATCTTGTGGTGGTCCAACACTCTCTGCAAGAAGACGTCCGCTCGCACCTTATGCATCCAAGACAGTGCTCCCTGATCTTTGGAAAATGCTTTACTAAGTTTCGGACGGAGACCTCCATTTTCAACCGCCCGATCAGCTTTCACAAGATACTCAAATCTCTCTGTCGCGCTTAAAAAGCAGAGAGAATTGTACAAATTCCGGATAGAACCTTCACACCTGAACATTTAAGATAAAAAAAAAATAAAAAATGATGTAAGGATTTGGAAACAATTTACAACACAAAATAATACAAAGAGGTAAGCCAATGATATTAACCTTAATGATTTCAAGATTGAGCCAAGCCAAAGAGGGCGACCATGTGGATGTGGGAACTCAATCAGACGCTCAAGGATGAAACCTAACTCCTGGCGATCACTTATGATCCCTTCTTTTTCTTTCTCTTGTTTTTTCGCGAAACATCTCAACTTGACAATGAAATCACCTGGTTTCTTCTGGTTCTTGACAATCACGATGTTGACATCCTTCCTCTTAGGGCCGGTTAGATTATCATGCGCAACTTTCCGCTCCCAGTGGAGTATGTGTAGGAGATGCAATGTTTTCCTTATTAAGAAAAATAAACAAACAAGCAACAAAAGGCACGAATCAGCTATTTTAACAACCCAAATGATGATATTTGCATTGCTTTCAAACACAACTCATACCGTAATGCTAGAAGAAACTGAGGGGGCAAACATCCATCTGCAGCCAGGAGCGGTTTAGCGAATTCTTCAGAAAACTCCTCCAAGTCGACATCGTAATCTTCATATACAAACAACCGCCGATCGTCCTTGTCAAAGTGCCGAAGAGCGAGCAATACTCCCTTACCCGCATTCCGTGCTCTCTGGAAATACGATTCTTCAAGTTCAAAAGTATCCCGATCCGCTATTGGAGCGCTTCGAACACTTACAGGGGTGTTGACTTGACCAACATTATCGGATAAGTCGGCTTTGAAAAGCTGGACATTGCCGTCAATTGTCTTAATCGCACCCTTTGGTTCACTAAGTGCCATGTTATTGTCTGTAAGTAACATCACAAGTATAATAATGCGTGTGAAGAGAGCTAGTTATCTTGAAATCTTTCTCTGACTCGCTTGAGGTATTTGAAATCTAGCTCTGACCTAATTAGTAATTCGTAATTACATAACGAAGGAATGCAGTACCGAAGGTGAAGGAAGGAATTCGTATAAAGTGACCTGGCAGATGGCCGGAAGCTAACGGCAAAAGGCTGACCGACGGGCTGGGAGGATGGAGGAAGTCACGAGCTGGCTTCTTGCTGTTGCCGGTAGGAGGGGAACCGAGTTGGGTTTTGAATTTTGATTGCGGCTGCTGGTAGTGGTGTGGTAGGAGGGGAACCGAGTTAGGTAGGTTTCCTCTTTTACGGATGGATATTCTTTAATGTAAAGGCGACGTCGTTCACGTCTGTTTTTCTGTTTTATATATAATAATAATAATAATAATAATCAGCCCGTTCTCATTAAACAACAAAGGGCTCAAGGCTCCACGTCATTATCCGCTACAAGGGCAGAATACAAAAAAATGGGTCACCACCTCATTTGGCCTTGTTGGTGCTCCCAGCCAATAGGAACTAGACACATGTAATAATTTATTTAATTATTGTTGCATCTGTTTGCCGTTGGGTAATCCTGTCTCCTCTATCTATCCCAAATTTTACTTAATTTCATCTATCAATATTTCGTGCACCAACCAAATGAGCACATATGATTGTTTAATTTTGATAAAGAAAAACATTATATTTACGTTATTCTGCTCCAAAACACTTTCTCTTAGAAGTTAATAGTAGGTGAATCTCCATCAAATAGTTTTTTTTTTCTCTCTCGGTAGAATAGAAGTTAATAGTATATATAAAATTTCCAACCATCAAACTGTAATAAAATATTAGCTAGAAAGTCAGTAATTTATTATTCACTAGTGGTCCGTTATGAAACCGACAAATCGTTGGTTAACACTTGTTAGTATCGTCCATGTTGTATAACATAAAAGACATATAATATACTAATTCACATCCTCCACAGTTGAAGGATGGACATGTTTTAGAGTGTTTTGGTCAACAAAAAAACATCAACGAAATCCTGATCATGTCAATGCTCGTCACAAAAAATTGCAGACGCTATTCTACTGGATTTGTTCTGTTCAATCAACACAAAAGCCAAGAGAACCTTAATTCTCAAAGCTCCCTTAAAAGACTTGGGTTAAAGACATATCTTTTTTTATTTCGTGGAAAAGGGTTCTTTTGACTACTAATGATTCAGGTTGATGAATAAATGAAATTAGCGAACCAGAAGAACAGTAGGGAACCATAAAAGGAAAGAAGATGATTTAGATCGATAAATAAATGAAGAAAGAGAAACTTAAAAAATGTTTACCACAAATTAATCCTAAAAACTCTAACTAATTAATATGAATTTCATAGGTGGCAAATCTCTATTCTCCGGTAATCAGCCTAGATAAAAAGTGTGCTCCAGCCTCCAAGAACGAACCAAGTGGGGGTAGAAAATGAGCTGAAGAGTTACACACACTAGGAGCATAATTCCAAACCATTTTCATCACCAAGAAGCTCTCAATTTCAGCGACCAAATCGAGGATGGATGAGCATCGATGCTAGGTTTGTAATAAAGTGGCTCAATCTTATTCCAATGGAACCTTAAACTTATTATTACTTCGCTCCGAACTACTATTTAATCAAATCGAAAGGTTGGGGGTAGAACTAACCTAACCTAACTAAAAACAACCAACCAAGTGCTTGGGAGACCGCTAGAGATAAGATGGTTGTCTAGGATCGAATCCCTCTAGCTATAGGTTGATATGGGCGATAATCTAATGGTACTTTGAGGAGCAGAGATCAAAGTGGGGATCGAATCAATGGTCATGCAATCGATCGCCCTCTATATAGGTGTACCGACCCAATATCACCTCAAATGGACTACCCAACTAAGAATTTTGTTCTATCTCCACTAAACAGCTGATATCCGTCCGCACACAAGTCGGGTACGTCGATGGTCACGCCCTTACCCGACAAGAATCAACTAGGTGAGAATCGAACTAGAAAGGGATGGTCACCTCAACCTTTAGCTAGGTTTATAGGTCATCCACTCGAGGTAAGAAGCATTTACACACATCTAAACCCTGAGTAGAAGCATTAAGCACCAAGGTTCAAAAAGGCGCTAGGCGTAAGGCGGGCGTTGAACCTTTGCCTAGCGCTTAGCTCGCCTAGATGTAGACTACGCGTGCCTAGGCGTTAGAACAAAAGTAGCTATTCGCACTGCATGATGAATGAAATAATAATTCACAACACTTCCTCACTTAAGTTAAAATGATTAATAACTTACCCAACACAGAATGACAAGAATATAGCTCGCAAATTCATAGAATCATAGCTCAATAGCTCACAAAGTTCTTGAGATGTTGATAATATTGATATAGAAAATTGATTTCGTAGTTGATTTTAATTTTCTCCTTTAATATTGACTTCCTAGCTCCATCTAGTAATGTTTAGGAGAGACTTATATGTCTCCTACTCCATTGATGTGCTCCAGTATCTAATTAGGCGCGAAACACCTAGGCGAGGCGTTTTGCCATTGCCTTGTGCCTAGGCGTGCCTAAGCGTAAGATTAAGCGTGCCTTTTTGAACCATGTTAAGCACCATAGTTAAACCCAAGTATACCATAAATGCATATGCAAGACAATTATAACCCCTTATTATCTAGGTTGCAACTAAAGCAAATGGGATACAAACAATCTAACACCAATTGATGTTTATAATAATCTTGACCCAAGGGGATGGAACTCTCACCTAGGATAAGAACAAACCAATCACGATCAAGCAATAAATTCTTAATGCACAAACATCAATAGACATAGATAAATATGTTCATAATCATGCTTACATATGAACCAAACACAAAGTATAATCTAGGGTTCATCTTCCCTAGGGATTCAAGTCTTAGACACTGGAAATACAAACTAAGAAGAGGGGAAATTCTTGGAATCATCTTCTTTCTCCTTGGATTGAACCTTCCTCCTTGATCCTTGGATGGATTTGACATTTTCGAAGCTCTCTCAAGGTGTTTCTCTCCCTAAAAATTACCCAAGAACCCTAATTTCTCACTCTAGGTCGACTCTCTTTCGTCAAATGCAGAAATGGGCTTATATATGAGAGTTACAGGATGATATGGCCAGAAGAAGACATGATAAGGCCTGGAGGCTGTATCCCGATGGATACACCCATATCCTGGGCCATATCGTGTAATCCGACGCCAAATCAACTGAAACGAAGTGTCGAGGCTCTGTATTCAAGTTCTGAGATCGCGGGCTTGAGCTGTAGATGGCGCCCGCGATCTTTACGTCGCGCCTGAAATGCTCCTTGGTCGTGATTCGTGTGGTGAAACTCTCTGTCCATGCATTGGATACCTTCTGCAGTTTGCATCCACAACCTCAAAGTTCACGGCCATGAAACACGATACTCCCTCTAATAAGGCCGTATCAGGGGTCGTATCTGTGTAATTTGCTCCCTTCTTGCTCGTATGCTTCCCGATCGTGCTTGGATGAACTCCAATCAATTCCCAATCGATCCTAGATGAATATAAGGCCCATAATTTCATCACAAACATAGAAAAAGCATAAAATACAAAAAAAAATGGGTCAATTTCCATATGAAAACCTTGATATCAAGCAAACTCATGCCAAAACAAATGTTTTACAAATAGGAATGTATATAGGCCTAAACTAACTTGATATGTGGCCTAGACACGGTGATTTAACACGCAAATGCCTCAAGAATGAGTATTATCTTTCCCCCAAGCAAACCTAACTCAAATCAGTACAACTTGCAAGACTTTCACAATGGCATGCCTGATAGATGGTCGATAGAGGGTCAACTAGCAAGTTAAGAGGTCAACTAATCACAAGGAACTCCACACCTATATCTATGTGATAACACACTCCCGAATGATGATCTTGCCACTAAAGAGGTTTAGACACTTCATGCATGCACCGGGGGACTCTCAAGAAAAACATGAAAAGCAATGGAATCTATATTAGTGCTCTTACTTTTTCAAAAGAAGACTCACTTTGAACCTAAGCTTAAGTTTGCCGAACATGTGAACATATGCATTTTTACAAACAAGGCTCCCCTTTCTTGTGGCTAAGAGAGAAAGTACATTGACTTCTCTAACCCAGGTACAAATTCCCAACCTGCACTCCCGTATGAACAACAGACGGGGTTGTCACACATGAGGCGTACAAACGAGAGCTGAGGTCTTCCTACTTGTGCAGAGAAACACTATCTCCTTTCATATAAGTCCCGTGAGGAGGAGAGGTGTTTGAGAGTTGGAAAGTAGAAAATGATTATTGATATCTATATGATTCACAAACACATCCTCAAATGGCAATCCAAACCAGGAGAAAAGCCCTTTGACAGCTTAACTAAAATACTATGTTCGGTTGCCTTTCACGTGAAACAATCATTTTTAAAAATATTTTTCAAACTGAAGCACATTTTTGCAAAACTTTTTGGAGTCCAAAGTTTAGGGAGAGAGTCTCGCACACATGTCCGAACCGCGATAGTAAACAGTATCAACACAACCAAAGAGGAAATCTTAGGCTAAATCCCTCGCTTCAAATATTCTCTGTAGCGCTACACTATCCTCCCTATAATGTACACCATTGAGATTATCTAAAAATTCAAATTACACTAAGTAGGAATGATGCAAATGAGCCAACTTGGAGGCCTCAAATTTTAAAAAAATTGGCATGCATACAAGGCTCAAAGTTGTCGAATTATGCTAAAGCATCATCCATACTCACTCTATCTCTCACAACCATTCACCATTCACATATTCATAACACAAGAGAGTGTAATAAATAGCAAACACTCCACACAAGCTATAATGCCCCCCCCCCCCCCACCCACCCACTTAAGAAACACATTGTCCCCAATGTGAGGACAGGTGAAAAATAGAGGAACAAAGTTACCGAAATGTCGATCGAGGTAATTGTGGGAGATTGGAATCAGGTGGGTGGGATCCTTGAGAAACATTCATGAGGAGAATCTAAAAGGAAAGCTCACCAGAACAAAAGTTATTCATTGAAAAGAAAAAGGATAGAAAATAACCCTTGTAATGCCGAGAAATCTCCTCTTGGACTCTGTCTTACCCTTCTAGCTAGGTCTCTAGGTCATCCAATCGAGGTAAGAAGCATTTACACACACCTAATCCATAATTAGAAGCATTAAGCATCATAGTTAAACCAATAATACAAAAATATTCATATGCAAGATAATGATAATTCCCCTATTATCTAGGTTGAAACTAAGGCAAATGGGATACAAACAATCTCACAATGTTTATACTAAACTTGACCTAAGGGGATGGAACTCTCACCTGGGTTAAGAACAAACTAATCACAATCAAGCAAGAGATTCTTATGCACAAATATCAATAGACATAGATAAATAGGTCTATAATCATGCTTACATATGAACCATACACAAACTATACGCTATGATTCATCTTCCCTAAACAATCATAGGGATTCAATTTATAGATAGAGATGAAATACAAATTAAGAATAGGGCTTGGAATCATCTTCTTCTCTATGGATCATACCTTCCTCTTGATCCTTGGTTGGCTTTTACCTTTCCCAAGCTCTCTCAAGGTATTTTTCTCTTTGATAACTGCCCAAGAATCCTAATTTCTCACTCTAGGTCGGCTCTTTTGTCAAATGCAGAAAATGGGCTTATATAGGAGAGTTGCAGCATGATACGATCAGAAGAAGACATGATAAGGCCTGGACGCCGTAGCCCAATGGATACACCTGTATTCTGGGTCGTATTATGTTATCCAACACCGAATCAAACGAAACAATGCAATGAGGCTTGGTCTTCAAGTTTCGAGATCGTTGTCTTGAGCTAGAGATCGCGGCCGCAATCTTTACGTCGTGGGGGTAAACTTTTCGTGGCCATAATGCTCCTTGGTCGCGAATTAGGTGGCAAAACTCTTTGCCCACACATTGGTTGCCTTCTGTAGTTCGCGCCCACAGCCTCAAAGTTCGTGATCGTGAAATACGATACTCCCTCTAATACGGTTGCATCAGGGGTCGTATCTTGTTTAATTTGCTCCTTTCTTGCTCCTATGCTCCCGATTGTGCTCGGATGAACTCTAATCGATTCCCGGTTGATTTTAGATGAATATAAAACCTACAATTTCATCATAAACACTGAAAAGCATAAATTACGACTAAGTGGAGTCGATTTCCCCATGAAATCTTCGTATCAAGCAAACTAATGCCAAAATTAATGGTTTACAAATAAGAAAGAATATAGGTCTAAACCAGCTTAATACGTGGCCTAGACACAATGATTTACCATGCAAATGCCTCTAGAACGAGGGCAAGTAACACCTATTTTAGGTGTTATTAGATTGTCGAACTGCTTCCTAGATATCTAGGTAATTGTACATCCATTGCATCGCTGTAGGAATAATATCTTCCTCGTCCATATTTTTGTTGTTAAACTGATGATTTTTCATTTCCCTCCAGACGAATCAAAGAATGGCTCAAAATTTATGGATCTTCTCCTCTGGGAAACGTACGAAACTTTAAAACCCTTTATGATGATACGTTAGGATCTTCGTTGCTCTTAAAACAATACGAGTCCAAGCTCGCATCCAAAGTCTCCTAGACAATGAACAGTCTCTTAGGTAGTGTTCCTGGTTCTATGGAAGACCACAAAGAGGGCATTTCGCACTAATGGCTTTAATCCATTCCTCCAATTTAGCTCTGGTTGGGAGTACGTTTCTGCAGATTTTCCAGAAAACAACTTGACTTAATTAGATTGTACTTTAAGCCTCCATATCTTTTCCCCATAAATCGGGTCATAGAATTTGTTGAGATTGATTCTGCATCTAACATCTTCATCAAGCTTGATACGAGATAGATTTGAATAGCTCCATTTTCTTGGCGGGAGTAGACCAGGTTTCTCTTTTCTTGGCGAGAATGGCCAGGGGTTTCTATTTTTCTGAAATTGCTTACCTATTATCCATTACGTTCTCAACTTAAATACACAAAAACTGGAATTGAAAAGGCCTATCTAAGTGGAGCTAATCCCACGTCTATCTACGCTAACCAACTAACCTTAAGATGCTAAACCCACTCCACCTATTATGCAAAACACTCCTAAATACTCTAACAAATACATGACTCTTAACAACCATGCTTACCCACTAACACTACTAACCAGAACTATCAATTCCAACCCTACAACAATAATCTTGGTACGAGGCTTTATTACGGGCTTATCATTACCAACCCCGAAAAAAAGGCCTTGTCCTCAAGGCCGAGTTGAATGAAGCAATCATGGAAAACGTAAGACAACATGCAGGTAGCATCATCCACGGGAAGAGACCTTCCTTGACACGTTTCCATCCTCGATCCATACCAGTCAATTGGTTTGATCTATAAGTCAACCCAAATAGCTGAACCTGCCTGCCCATTACCTCCTATAACTCGTTCAACCCTTTTCAGCTAGTTCATTTTCTCCTCGAGCCACGTCACTTGCCTGCTCATAACCGTTGGCCACAATAGGTGCTTCCTGAAACGCTTCCAGTTCCTTTGTGAAACCCTCTCAATGATCACCCCTCCGTGGGTTAGGGTCTTGAAGGTCGGCTTGTGGGGATTGTCGGCAGAGGGGACCGCCACCCGCATTGCTGTTGGGGGTAAGGACGCATCAACATCCATGGACTCATCGTTGTCATTGTCAGCAGCGGCAGTTGCTTTCTCCTCGTGCTTCCACTTGTATATCTTTTCGTCGAAGACTTCATCAATGTAGCACGAATCAATGGTGCAGGGCATGGTTTCCCTCCACGTTGGTGGATCTAGCTTCCCCTTTAGAAGCAGATTTTTGTCCCACTTCTTGACGATCTTAGCTATGTTAGCTCGACCCTTCTTTCTTTTCCACCAATTTAGACAGTGGCCATCAACACCAAACATTCCTAGAGAAGTCTCACGTTTCTTCCTAAATCTCCAAGGGTTTATTTGACCCAATATTCTTCTGCCTCTATTGTAAATAACACATTTGGTGGTTATTCTGATACCCAATGATAGGACGTATCCATTTATTTGTCGTGGACGACCCTTAACCAACAAAGTTTGCAGCTTTCCCACATGATGATGCTTTCCGTCGAGGCTTGGTGAAAAAGGAGCGGTTAGGGCTGCTGGTTCAAGTGGTGATTCCAGCTCAATGACAATCGATGGCAGGTCTGTTGTGTGCACAGGGGATGCGATCGGCGAACTCAATAATTTTTCAATCTGCGGCGATAGTGGAGCAATGTCAACAGAACCAACAGCGGTAGGCATCGACAGTAGTGGAGCGATGACCAGTGGTGCAACGGGGCTTGATTGTGGAGTGATCTTCACGGCTTCCATGGCAGTGAGGATTTTGAATTGCAGCGGCAGTGGTTGGGAGACACTAGTCGGCGCGGCAAGAGGGAACGACGACAACGACAACGACTGTACAGGCTTTGCGCCAACAGCATCTTCTTCCTCGTCCTCTACAAACTCGACTAGAGCTTCAGCTTGCGACGGTGGCGGTGCGGGTACTATAGGTGGGATGGCGATCTCCGCCTTTTCCATGGCGGCCAGGGTCTCAACTCGCAGCTGCGTTGGTGTTGTTGCTGACATGTGTTTGTCATATGAAGCAATCATCTTGCCGCAGGTAGCGATGACACTGTCTAGCATTTGGATTGCCTGATTGATGAGTTCCTCCCTTGACGGTCTCTCTGAGCTCATCGTGATCGGAACCCGGATCAAGGCTCTGATACCAAATGATACGAGATAGATTTGGATAGCTCCCTTTTCTTGGCGGGAGTAGACCAGGTTTCTCTTTTCTTGAAGAGAATGGCCAGGGGTTTCTATTTTTCTGAAATTGCTTACCTATTATCCATTACGTTCTCAACTTAAATACACAAAAACTGAAATTGAAAAGGCCTATTTAAGTGGAGCTAATCCCATTTTCTACGCTAACCAACTAACCTTAAGATGCTAAACCCACTCCACCTATTATGCAAAACACTCCTAAATACTCTAACAAATACATGACTCTTAACAACCATGCTTACCCACTAACACTACTAACCAGAACTATCAATTCCAACCCTACAACAATAATCTTGGTATGAGGCTTTATTACGGGCTTATCAAAGCTCACCAAACATATAGCATGCAGATTTCACAAAGTAAGGCCCATCCATTATTAGTTCTTGTCCAAACCCTTTCATATTCACAAAGAGGATTACAAATAGAGATACTAATGATGACTTTAATGAGAATCTCTTTCCCCGCAACAGATAGAGAAAAGATCTTCCAATCCTTTAACTTCTTCCTCACTCTTTCCTTTGGGTCTCTAAAGATTAACTTTTGTGATTTACCAAAGAGAGTGGGAAGACTCAAGTATTTTTTCATGCTTATCCACCTCCCTTATATCCAAGATACCACAAATTTCCAGCCTTTCACTTGGCTCAAGATTCTTACTGATTGACAACTCTAATTTGGCATTACCTTTGTAGAATAAACTTAAGTTGGTCAGCCTCCCTGCAATTTATGATGGCGCTTTATTTCTGGAGTTTGTCACTCTCATTCTTGATAAATTTCCTCTTATCAATGTATCTTTAATCCTTTCTCTTGTAATTTATGTATAAATTATAACTATTTGGTCAATAAGACTTTAATAGACCTAGGAAATGCTTTTTGTACTCTTTGATGACTTCTTTGTATGTTTTTTTTTATGGATTTCAAGGTAGAAAGCTGCCTAAGGAAACTTGGATCAAGCATTGGAGAACTCAGAAGGATCAAATGAGCTATAAAGAGAAGAACATGGAGCTTTCATGACGAATACGAGGTCCAATCATGGAGAAGCCTACTAGAAACAACTATATGAACCCAAGAGAAGTCCAGCAGAAGAAGACTCGACTCAAGCTGAAGAAGAAACCAACGGGGGCCCAGTATCGGGTCCAACTGCCGCTGGAGGAGACCTAGTCATGATGCTTTCATATGATAAGAAGAGATCATCCATGGGCCAAGGAGCCTGGGATTATCGTGACAGGATGCGATTAAGAACATAAATAGGGTTTGAATGGAACGAGGATTTGGGGAAGAAAAGCAAGAAGTGACAACGGCCAACTTAGAAAAAAGAGAAAATTAGAGTTGGGAAGATACGTTGAACTATTCTTTTTTTTTATTATTGAATGATAAAGTACATTATATAGAGTCTGACTCGAAATTCTAATCAACCTAACATAACTGAATGCTAAACTACCTCTTAAACACTAATCGTACCCTCAACAGTACACCCCGCTCGAGAGCGACCTTGTCCCCAAGGTCATAGTAAGCTCCTCTACGGCTCTACCTTCCCGTTCCTTTGACGCGGCGTTGGTTCAAGATTGGCTTGCACTTTCTCTTCTTCCAATCACGTTCAAGCACTCGAACAAGACTCATAGCAGAAGCATTTCCAACGAGAGTTGCTTCTACCAAGCCTTCACACTTGTCTAAGTAGAAAGTATCAACCTTGCATAGCACACACGTAGCTCCCACGTCGTTGAACCTTGAATGGTGAATGGTGATCGCTTCCCTTCCAGTACCAAATTGCCTGCACCTTTCTTCTACCTAGCGTGCCTTGCATGGAATAACAAGGTTTACAATGCCTACCTTCCAAACATAGTTTCTCATGCATGGAGCATAAACCACCGATCCCCACCTGCCACAATCCACTTCTCGTGCATTCCTCCTCTGTCACAAGAGTGCTCCCTGCCCAATGCACAAGGGTGAAAGAGGTCCTCGTTTTGTTTATCGCGATGATGACTCAAATCTCTCCCCATCCCCCGAAGCACTTCACCTCCTACTTGAGCGTCACGCCTCACCCAGGAGAAAGTTCACTAGTTAAAATAGAAAGCTCACTAACGTCTAGACTGCTGAACCAAGATAAGTTCGTATGGTCGAGCAGCCTTTTATTTGTCTCATCACTCTTGTAGTTGGGTTGATGTCAACCACCAGAATAAATATTCCGACTCAGTTATCGAATTCCACCGAAATGTTGTCATCGTCGCTTGCAGGATCAAACCATAATGGTTGCCCACCATCCGAAATCCCCTTGGTATGAGCCATGCGACCATCAAAACAATGAGTCGAACCTGAGAGAGGTCTTACCAACTGACCTTGATACTCTCCCACGGTATTGATCATCTTCATCATCATCAAGCCTTCCACCGCTAAATGCATTCCCTGACCCTTCCCGTTTGCTTGCTCAAGCACCATCGGCCTTACACTCCTTTGTAGAAGAAACTGCAGTGGAAAAATTATATGTTCTTTGACCGAAAATGCAGCGCCCGCTCTCTCCAGTGAGTCCAAAGGAGAAGAGTTCCTTCATTCTTTGCTTCCATAATTGATTAAAGGCAGCTTCTTACGAAATTTCCATTGGGCTTCCCATTTTCCCACATGAGACCCCAAATTCAGTTCGCATGAGGATATTGATAGTCCAAGTTGAAGTTGAAATGCTCCCACTTTTGTCAAGTTCTTAACCTTGAACTGCAGAGGAGAATTTGAGGGAGCTTGGTACCTTAATTGATATCCTCTTTCAAGGCTTCCTGCGAGCTCGGTAGATAAGCTAGAATTGTGTTCCAAACTTGCTATCAGAGAAGAAGAACTTCTCTACCTCGATGTCGCCGGCGAACTGCCAATTGACGAAGAATACGATGGAACTCTTTGCCAGGCTTTGGCCCACTCACTTTCTCATCTTCTATTTGTTTCTGTTGGGCCCTTATTTGGACAACCGAAGTCCACTCTTTTTCCTCCTATTCCTTTTCCCTTTTGATGTAGGAAAGGACAACATAATGATGTATCTTTGGTCTTTCTCCTTCCTGCATATATATAAATCAAGCAATGTGGGTTAACACCACTAGCTTCACAATATCAGTATTATGGTATCATAGCTTCATGATTCCATAGCTCTCATCTATTCTTAGATCCTTTTCTTTTTTTCTTCCTACCTTTATAGATATTCTTCCCTTTCTCTTTTCTGTTCAGCCATGTTAACATCCTCTACTAGACTACTAAGGAAGAAGATCTAAACACACACGCCAGTCGAGCAACTCAAACAGTAGAAACAATTCTAGATGCCTCTTTTACAGATCCAAGAGGTTTAATGGGCAGCAGTACTTCAAGGGAAGGGAGACACCTCAAGCAATCACAAATGAATCTCATATCCAACCATCTTTCACAGGACATACCAATCAACATGTTCCCTATTCAGCAGCTACCTTCACAAGTAATATCACCACTTCTTCAGGCATAAGCACTCAGAATCTACTTAATGATGGTATGCCTAGTTGCAATAAGTTGATTTGGTTATTGGATACGGGAGCCACTGATCACATGACATGCAATTTAGTAATTTACAATGGTTTGAAGATTCTGAAGTTATATATGGTGTGTTTGTGACTCTACCTACTGGAGTTCAAGTTCCAGCTACTCACAAAGGGAATGTGAGGGTCACTAATGACCTCATTCTATATGATGCTTTGTACATACCTTCTTTTACCTTCAATCTCGCCTCTGTTAGTAGACTAACTGGGACCATGCCTGTATGTCTTTCTTTCTTCTCTATCTTCTGCCATTTGCAGGATCTTGTTACTGGGAGTAAGATTGGTATGGCTGAGTTGAAAGGTGGCATGTATCACATCACAAAAGCATCTTCAAAGTCAGCAGATCAATCTCCTAAAGCAATGAGTAGCACTACTCATGTACCTACAAATTTTGACTTAAAGTCATTACAGATTGGGTCATCTATCACATTCCAGAATTAATGCTTTCCCACAGTTGGATTCCTCTATTTCTAGCAGACCAAATCAAACTTGCTCCATGTGTCACTTTGCAAAACAAAGAAAGTTGCCCTTTCCCGTAAGAACTTCTATGGCCACTGCATCTTTTGAGCTATTACATGTTGATATTTGGGGACCAAACATTGTCCCCTCTTATGATGGATATCTCCACTTTCTTACCATAGTTGATGATTATTCTAGAGTCACATGGTTAATGCTCTTACGCTCAAAATCAGAGGCAAGAGATCATATCAAGAGCTTTTTGGGTTATGCTGAAACTCAGTTTAATAGAAAACTGCAAATAGTCCGAAGTGATAGTGCACAAGAATTCAAAATGATGGGATTCTTTGCTGAACATGGGATTGCCCATGAGACTAGTCGTGTTGAGACACCTCAACAAAACAGTCAAGTTGAGAGAAAGCACCAGCATATATTGTCAGTGGCTAGGGCACTTAAGTATCAAGCAGGTTCACCGTTATCTTTTTGGAGTAATTGTGTTCGGCATAATGTGCACCTGATTAATCGACTACCTACACTTGCTCTAAACCAAAAGACACCATTTGAGAGGTTGCACAATAGAACACCTTGTTTTCAGAACCTTAAAGTTTTTGTTTGTTTGCCATACGCCTCAACTTTGGGCAGTCACAGGACAAAATTTACTTCTAGGGCACGGGAGTATGTTTTTCTAGGATTTTGTTCAAGCACTAAAAGGTTACAAAGTCTATGATTTGTATTCCCATGATACATTCATCACAAGAGATATCCAGTTTTATGAACATATTTTCCCTTTTAAAGCTTTGCCTTCATTAGGCAATGATATGGGTCATCCAAATGCTCCTTTAAATCCAGTCTCTTACTTAGAAAACATCGATCATACACCCAAAACTACAAGAGTGCCTATTCAGCCTTCAGATTTGGATCTGCCAGTTACACCTCTGTCTCCTAATTCTTTCCCTACACCTGAAAGCAGTGCCCCAATTGACACAGATGAAGACATAGACACAGAAGCAAAATTGGATTCTAAACATCCATCTCCAAGGAAGTCAAAAAGGATTGCAAGACCATCAGCACATCTCGCTGATTATCACACCAGCTTGCTCACTCAAAGCTATACCAGCAATCCCTCTCCAGCACAAGATCTGAGACTTTCTATCTCTCCTAAAGCTACTCAAGATCTCTCTGCTGTCTGGGTTAAGATAATCTTTCTCCTATATTTCAACATTTTTGTCTCTCGGTTAGTGCTCTCACAGAACCAAGAACATTTAGTCAAGCTTCTAAGCATCAAAAGTGAGTAGAGGCTATGTGAACAGAGCTGGCAGCCATACACCTTAATCATACATGGGAATTAGTTGATCTTCCAAGTGGTAAAGCTACAATTTGGTGTAAGTGGGTCTATCGGATCAAATACAAATCTGATCCACTGTTGAAAGATTAAAAGCTCGTTTAGTGGCAAAGGGTTATACACATCAAGAGTGCATTGTAGCTTACTTGCAGTGGCCGTTGCTCGTGGATGGCATTTGCATCAATTAGATGTAAACAATGTTTTTCTTCACGGTGAGCTTCATGAAGAAGTGTATATGCAGCCTCCTCCAGGTTTATACCTTGAGAAGAATAACACAAGAAAGGTGTGTCGGTTAAAGAAAAGCATTTATGGTATTAAACAAGCTTCAAGGTAATGGTATGAAAAATTGTCTCAGTTCTTACTTACATTGGGTTACAGACAAAGTGAGTGCGATCGCTCTCTTTTTATCCGAGCAACTTCAACTTCCTCCACTGCAATTCTGGTTTATGTCGACGATCTGATACTAGCAGGATCATATATTAATGAGATTATTGCTGTCAAGAAAGCTCTTGATTCAGAATTCTATATCAAGGATCTGAGTTCTTCACTACTTTCTGAGGATTGAGGCGAGAAGTCATACTGGTCTTCACCTTAATCAGCGAAAATATGCACTCGAAATTCTTCACAAGGTTTTCTGGACTCCAAACCAGTTTCTACCCCCTTAGAACCCAAAGGACATTTACAGCTTGATGATGGGTCTCCTGCTGTTGATGCAACTGCATACCGACGGCTTGTTGGGAAGCTCATCTACCTCAGTACCTCTCGCCCAGATATCGCCTTTGCCACTCAACAACTTTCCCAATACCAGCAGGCGGCACATCGACTTCTTCGCTACATTAAAGGATCACCTGCCCAAGGATTATTTTACTCGGCAAATACAGATCAGCAACTCCATTGCTTCACCGACTTAGGAAGCATAGGCTAGTTCAAAATTGGACCTATTATATGAAATAAAAGAAATGTTGGTCATCCCTACGAAATGAAAATAAATAATCATTCGTAGCTATTGATAACTCATCGCATTACCGTTCTCAATTTCCAATTCCAAGTTCTTAGATAAGACAGATAAAAAAATGAGAATGAAATGCAACGAGACAACTTCATAGCATACTGAAACTATCGAAAATACCAAGTTACACAAAATGATGAGTATGATCATAAACTCGTAGAAACTTTATTAATGAGGACCAGAAGCAACATTCTTCACTAAGCAAGTATAGAAAAATAATCCAAATGGCTAGGAAACTTTGTGGCATCTGGAAGATCTATATTCTGGTATCATCACACACCACTCTCCAGTCTCCAACTCAACATGCTGCCTTGAGTGTTCATGATGCAATTCAATTCTTAAATCAGAGGGACATACCATGTTTGAATGGCTCGGCAATACCTCTTCAAGTCGCTTGACTTCCTCCGGACTCCAAATTTGCTTTTCTTCAGCCCACACAGTCTAAACACCCTCGTATCACATACAACTATTCTCATCTCAGAATCGGTCTTATCAATAAAAACACCCTGCCATGCATCCACATTTAACTTAAATAAACCCTGTTGTACCGAGACCAGTACTATATCAGAAGTCTCCTCGTCCTGTCTTTCCCTTGCTTCAATTGGAGCTTGGTTAGTATGTAAACACTAATGAAAGCATTTATTCTGGCTTCAATATCCTATTCAAGTTTCGAGTTGTTGTAGCTGCAACTCATTTCAATACCTAATAAAAGAGTGTAAAATAAACAAAGTAGCATGGTCCTACTAATAAAAGAGAATAAGATTCTAGTAGGGACTAACTACTTTCATTGGATTAAGCCAAATGCCATGTCTGATTATGTTGTCAATCGAATTAATTGAGATGCAATAAAAACTACAACAAAATATATGAAATACTCAGAAACATAGAGTAGCTCAACATTAAAATAACTCTTAGACAACAAATAACACTCAGAATGACGACATAATTTTATCGACGGTAGGATTTACATATGGCCTTCCAGCTAGTAGAAATCATGAAAATGAGGTGTCTCATCCTTAAAAAGGGCTATGAATCAGAAGTAAGTGGTCAACTACTTATAATTCTTTAAAATGGGCCGCTACAAACTGAATTCCTAATCTTAAACAGTGATATGATTCCAGTCATTCCCTATGGAAATCTGCAGTCTTTTTTTAAAGGAAACGAACCGCCAAAACCATTCCAAATCAAGAAAATGTGGTTGCTGAAAACTGAAAAGGATAATCATGAACTAAAGTACTGAAACATATAACTTTGCCTCCTTTATCAAACCAAAACACAATCTTGAAGATTAATCAAAGAAACCGATGACTATGAGAGCACAGATTATTGCCAAAGAAACTAAATAATTCACCAGCCAGCTCGCTAAGTGAGAATATCCAAGACATCTCTGCATCACTCTGCAGCATCATTGATTTTACAATAGAACCCACTCTCCAATTGCCGACTAAAAGCTATGGTTCTTGTTCCTAACGGGTGTGCAAAAGAGGGTCCACAGGGACCTATGGTCACCTCATATTTATAAAGTTTTAACGAAATCAATTGATATGTCGAATTATCATCTCTAAATGAATCCAAGCTCCCTGATTACTTTCCACCACCATGAACAATAAGCTATGATTAGGCAACAATGAAATCAAATCCACATCTTGAGTTTTTAGTGATTTTACAGGGGAAGGGAAGTGATCTTACGGTGAACAACAACGTCTCAGGGTTACTTCAGTAAAACCTTTCTGGAACCGAATATCCCAACCTCTAAGCACTCCGGAATAACTAAAGCTCATATGCGAATATCAAAGCTTCAAACTTTGTACAATAACCCCACACGAATCAAAGCAAGCAAGTACTGAGAGATAAAGAACAAACAACAAACTGAACTTACCTTCGATCAGGGGATCTCCATGACGAAACCCTCATGTCCGAAAAAAATAACAGTCCTGTAGATTAAAAAGAGCATCACCTTCAATTTCATCCAATTTAAATCCATCTGCAAGGAGAAAAAATTTGAGAACAGGGCAGGAGTGAGAGAGAGTAGGGGGTGAAACTCACTATACATGAGAAGGCCCTGGATTTCCAACGTGGGCATTCCAATCCGGCTATCAGACTTGATTGTTCCTCCTAAATGACATATATAGGGACATGCAATCGACAGAGAACGATCGCCCATGGAGCCGCAGATCTCAAAAAGTGGTTCGACTTTCCCATTCCCTGATACGGCACCAATGCCGGAGAAGCAATGAAATCAAGGTCTCCAGGTAAGAAGCACGGATATCCCTTATCTTCAAGGTTTCAGGAACTAACAAGCCATCTCATCTCTTAATTGGCGTTTGGTGTTGATGGGAGCATAGAAATCGTAGCGGAGACCGTTGGCTGTGAGTGGCGCCAAACAAAGGTGAATTGAGGGTGGGGGTGTTTTTGTGCAGGTAGCCGATTTGTGATGGAAGCTGAGAACTTTGCCAGTAGCATCCCTCTGTAACCCTCCACAGACTTCCGGCGCCGGATTGGAGGCCACAATCACTGTGACCAAAAGAGGCTGGTTACAATACTAACCAAAATAATAAAGGACAACCTCATAGAAATCGAAAGAAGCCAGTTTGAGGGAAAATCTGTCAATGCAACAGATTTGTGATGGAAGCTGAGAACTTTGCCAGTAGCATCCCTCTGTAACCCTCCACAGACTTCCGGCGCCGGATTGGAGGCCACAATCACTGTGACCAAAAAAGGCTGGTTACAATACTAACCAAAATAATAAAGGACAACCTCATAGAAATCGAAAGAAGCCAGTTTGAGGGAAAATCTGTCAATGCAACAGACGTGGAGGAAAAACATAAACGCAAAGCATAACCAACAACAATGAACCGATGAACCATTGGCAGATATAATTACCTTCAAGCTCAGAGATGAAAATGAAGGACATAAATCGAATCCCCCAAACTTTCAGATGCTAGGAGGCCGGGTCATCTGTTAATTGGCGTTTGGTGTTGATGGGAGCAGAGAAATAGTCGATGGAGGGCGTGGCCTGACAGTGGCGCAATTAAAGGGGAGTTGACGGCGGTGGTGTTTGAGATGGCGGGAAATCGCCGACCAGCCTCTCTATTTAACCCTCTCAATCCCTCGCTCTGAGAAATTCAGGACAGGATAAGAAAAAACCCAACAGTGAAGAGAGGAGAGTCTGAAGAATTTAGTCGACAGCTGGAAGTTCATACTACCTGTGACAAATGAGAGCTGGGGCGGCAGAGCTACGGGGGGGAGTTGGTGGTCGGCAACTAAATTACATAAGGCCATGCCATTTATGCATGCCCTTCCAATGATTTGTCCATCGCAGAACTTTGGAAAAGTGCTCCTTTGGTTACGTGTATCCATCAAGTCAATTAGATAATGAAGTTATCAAGCAAACCGAGAATTCAAGCTAAGCGGATAAGTAAAGTTCATGTTTCAATGCTTCAAGAACATCCTAACCATTACTGAAATATGGATCAGTAGTAGTTCTTGGGACTGCATAAAAAACACACAGTTGCCAAACACGGTGTGGATGGATACCCCAATCAAAAACTCAATGTCAAAACCCCTACTGACCACCCGAAAGAAGGAGACTCACTAAGCAATTCATCAATCAAGAATCATTTTCTTAACAGGCAAAAACTCAGTAGATAGCAATCCAAAATACATATAAAAGACTCTGTGACCCTTCTTCTCTAAGCAGTAAAAAAAGTGACGACGTTTACCTCTATATGTGGCAGGTGACGATAACCATGTTCAACTTTCAGCACCACCACCACAGTCAAGCACCAGTGTGGACTCTATACTTTTCCACCTACAGCAGTCTCCTGTCTCATCCTAATGTATTCCCAGTCCTGCAACAACACCAAAGACGACTCAATGTTTTCACAGTAACAAATGACTAACAATTAAACCATTCCCAACATAAAAAAATCTTCATAATACTGAATCATTTCAGTTTTCCAGGCAGCGCCTGAGCCTGACGACTACATTTTGCTACCAGTCAACCACACCACCGATAGGAAAAACTCAATTTCGTGTTTGTTGTTTACCCCGAAAGATACATCTTAATCCGCTCTAGACATCACCACCACATTACTATGAAATGTATTTCAATAAACTTCTCATGTAATTGGCATTATTCCGATTCACCCCGTACAACATCTCGAAACCATACCACAACAAACTCTTCCCACTTATCTAACAATCAGTTTTAATCATCATTCCCTCAAACTTCCCGAACCTAGGTCACATTTTGGGGATGGTACCCATGTATCATGTTGCCGAACTATTCCTTATGACTTGACTAAGTGAGTAACTACTCAGGTGACAGTGCAAAAAGCTTATGTAGTGATCCCTCATCTTTGATTCAGCTTATACTGATCATTTCAAATCCATTATTAAGGTACCTCCTTTTACTGTATCAGTAATACCAACTGAGGAAGACTGCAAAGACATAGCTCTAGGAATAAAGAAAGCACCACTTAGAAATCAACACCCACCACAATCACTGTCAGGATTCCATGAACATAAAAGAGAATAAGAGAATAAAATTTGAGAATGTGGGAGAGAGTACTTGGACTTTGTTGTTCGCAAGGATACAAAATTCTTCAGTAGGGATGAATGACAACGTGTTCTGGAATCTGATACAGTAGGCCTTCAAATTGAGTAATACGCTTTACACTTGAACCAACAACCTGTAGCATCCAAAAATTGACAAAAAATTACACCAGAATACCCAACATAGAATAACTGAATCATACTAAATTGATTCAATAAGCCAGGCAACTCATGAGGCCTACATTTAGCTGCCAATCAAACACAGTCAGGCTCTTTGCAAAACTAACCAAATAACAAAGGACAACATCATAGAAATAGAAAGAACAAAGTTTGAGGGAAAATCTGTCAATGCAACAGACGGTGGAGGAAAAACCTAGACGCAAAGCATAACCAAAAACAATGCACCGATGAACCATTGGCGAATATAATTACCTTCAAGCTCAGAGACAAAAATGAAGGACATAAGTCGAATCCCCCAAAATTTCATATGCTAAGAGGCCGACTCATCTGTTAATTGGAAAGTATATCAATTGATTCTACACAATATAATGGGCAGTATTTGATGGATAAAATCATTAAAATTCCATTATTGTTCGGGGTGTATTAACCACTCTATGCATGGTCTTCTTTCTTTTCCCAAAAATTGAAGCACCAAATTTCCCTCTTATTTTTTCCTCAAAAAGTTGAAAACACCAAGTAAATTTGTCTTTTCTCTACAATGGATCACCACCAATCCAAATCATACTCTTCCCACCGGTCCATACATGGCTTGATGAAGACATGAAGTAGTAATAAGAATATTCTTGAAAAGTTTTAGTTTTTATTTTCACTAGCAAAGACCCACTCGCTACGCTTCGCGCATATGCAAGAATAAAATATCAGGTTGAAAAGAGTACATATTTTATTAGAAAAGGATAATAGAGGACGATAAGAGTTCCCTATCCAATACAGTAGACAATAATAAAGGGCAACAGAACGACCAAAAATCATGATGCTACTTGTACAAAACAGTCTGAAAGGTTACGCATTATTAGTCTTGCCAAAGAGGATCATGGCTATGGATAGAAGGCCAGTGGGAATGGGGAGTCAGGTCTGCTGTTAGAGTTGGATTCGTTGTAAAGATTGGCAAATTGGCTATGCCAAACAGTTACGACCTTGAAGATGGCAGCACAGTGTTTTTTTAATGAAAACTTTCTTGACCTCGAGTAGGTGTACTGGATGATGCCTTACAACAATATCTTCCACTTTGGAGAAGCGTTGCAGCTGCTATATGGCTCAAAAGAAAATTGATCTGGCCTGTTTCATCGGCAATGGACATTGATAAGTAGAAACTATCAGATGTCAAATATTAGGGGCTGCTGATAAGTAGTTTAAGCATTTTCTCATCCCTAGACCTCTTTATTATTATGGCATGTGTTAATCTTGCGTATTAGTTTAAACACTAAGTCAATCCATGATTATCAAGCATAAACATCAACGAACAGAGCTCCTAAACTAAAAAAAACAAAAGCAGTGAAGCAAAGTCTCAGTTTGGTTTAGTCATGGTTCTGGCATGGCACACTTGAGGACTCTGAGTAAAGAAAAACAAAATCTGCAGAGTTCAGTTTCGTCAAAGATGGTAAAAAGAGATGCACCTCTCATACTCTGCACAAAACCATCAAAAGAGTGGACCTATAATTAAGAGTCTCTGAACCCTGTTTTTTACCACACACACAAAAAAAAAGGTCTCAAAACCTCCATCTAACATCATTTCCATTACTGAGCAGAAACATAGGTATCTATATTTCAGTTTACACAATTTCTAATAGTAGAAATAACTGAGGAATCACAAGTCAGCATCTGCTACCATTTCAAAAGTAATGGTAATAAAAAAACCCCAAGAGACAACCATGACCCGTGAACAAAACAACAATGCAGTGTATTGGTTCTTCAATTGAAAGTGAATTACGTTGGTGGACGACCTGGTAGTATCAGCAGCAATCAAACATAAATTTAAACAACCAAAAACCAAGAAATGAAACAACTTTCTTCACTGGCAGACTGTATTGGAGGCAAAACAATGCAGTATGGGGAAGTGATTCGCACGATTCGAAGGTTAATTGAGTTGTTTAGGCTTGGGAATGTTGCGCTGGACATGGATTGTAGGTTAGCTTTTCTTTAGTAGCTTTGGTAAGAACTAAGAAGTAGATTCTAGTTTCAAGTGTATAGTGCTGTAAGTATCTGCATTCTGCAGTTTCAGTTTCGGAAGTGTAAAGATACAGATGTGTTAACTGGTTCTCTGGCTTCTGCCTCCTCTCAATCAAAAAAAAAAAAAAAAAGATACAGATGTGTAACCCTTATCTGTTAGTTCTTCAATAAAGTTGTTTTTATTGCCCATAAAAAAAACAAAAACAAAAACCTAATTCGAATTGATCAATCATAAGGGCTGCTCCAATAAGTCAAGGTCGTAAATCTATTAAACCCAGAATTGAGAGAACAGAAATTACAGAGGATGGGGAAAAACTAACCGCTGATGATAAGTGTGCTAGCAAATTCCAGATGGTGGAAGCACCCACTTTAGACGCAATTGCCACAAACTCACTTCAAGCTTTCCTGCTGAATTCTGCCGCTCCAATCTATCCATGTTAGGTGGCACCTGTCGATTGTAAAATTATAACAACATTACTACTTAGGCAACAACCATGATATCCTCTCATCTTCCCCATTAATCATTTTTAAGTAAGGCCATCCTCTTATTTTGATAAGCAAAGAAATGAAATAATTGATATGTTAAAGGAAGCAGTGATATGTGAGGCTCATGCTTATGGCAGTATACCAACCTGGTATGATTGATCGACGGAGCAATACTTCCTATGTCCTTCCTCTCCCTTCTTTCCATTATAGTAATGATACTAAAGCTACAACAACCCAAAAGCTACATCATAAGCTATGAAAGCAAGTTAAGATAAGTAACATAGGAGATAATTCAGAGTAAAAGGTTGGAGGTTTAAGTAATGAAATCCATCATACCAATAGATAGAATATAATGCTTTCTTGTTTTGCTTTTATCATGGAAATCTTGAAAGCCTATGGAACTTTGAGAATACAACTATGATAGAAAAAATAACTAACAGATTAGTTCAGATTTTACAGTTGGCCTCAAGAAACAAAAGGAATTGTATACAAATAGAGGAAAAGAAGAGAACGGATACAGATAGAGAAAAAGCAAGAGCTTCATCATAACCCCATTCATTGTGGTGTACATAAGTTTGAGAAATATCCAATAACCCATGGAACAAAAGCAACTAAATAGAAAGAAATCATATGCTTTATGTTCTTGCTTCAAACCACCTAGGATCTAACTTAAAAATGCATATAAAAAAGGGGCCTGTAGCATGAATGCTTCCATGCACGGCTAAAATGATAATAAAACAACTATAACCTGGTTTTTTCCTTAAAATATTATCTGGGTGAAGCATGAAAAAACATGTATAAGCTACTGGATTGACCATATAGGTAACTTTGGCCTGCACATCTTAAAAGACAGCAATATAATTGTTGAAATGAAACCTAATGCAGCACAATACACATTGCATCATCAGGCATCATATGAACATACTTGATAAAATAATGAAGATAAGATCACCTTGCCAACATCTCGTTCAGCCTTCAACACAGCCTTTCCCTAGCAAATCTCAAATGGATTGTTTTCATGCTCATAAAGAGCTTGGACATGATATTGCGCTCTGTTTGTTCTGTCCAAAACTTATTGCTTTGGTGGCTCCAAAAACCAACCACCAGGAGCTCTGGCAAACCTGTTACCCAGAGTTTTTGGCGAGAACATCAGCACAGAACCTTGACGTTTGTATCCTATTGAATTCAAATGGTACCATTACAAAATCTGGTTTCTTCCGAGTACTTACCACTACAGTTATTATATACAAACTCCAAAATTTAAGAGAAGCAACTCAACACTAACCTTGTAACCTAACCACAAAGTAAAAGTCTACAAAGGAAACTTTCCTGGAAACTTAGGCAAAATAGTAGAGGCTGCAAGTGTTCCTTCTGGTGTGATTCTGCTCTGGGGAAACCCAATAACTAAGATAAGCCACAAAAGCATATATCATACAACCAATCAACAAAATGAAACTCAACCTTACCCTCATCGGAACGACTTTGATTTGGGTGAATGGAGAGAAGAGCAGAGAGAAGGAAGAACTTTGTTGTAGTCGCCAGTCGGCATTCTTCTCATCGTCGTCACCTTACGCAACAGAGCTGCTGTATCCGGATCTCGAGCTGGCGCTTGTGCGTATCCCTGCATCCTTTTTGGCATTGCCGGACTCCGCTGAGTTCAAATCTTCCTCGTGTTTCATCCATGAAGAAGTCCGTCGCTGCCATGGCCTCCTCTTCAACTTCTTTCTCAGCTCCAACGATTCCCTTCTACGTCTTCTTCTTCAATAGCGAGGGAGAGAGAGATATCGGGACTTGGGATTCCGCCGAAAAAGGAGAGAGCGATAGGTGGACCTCCGCCGCCGCCATGTTCTCCTCTTCAACATCTTCCTTTACGGCAACGATTTCATTCCCGGCGCGCGACATGAACCGGGAAGTGTTTGATCGAAAGGCAACGGGCAACGGCCAAGCGGAGCACGGGCGGGTTCAGAATCGAGGTTTGGGAATTGGGAGCGGGCAATTGATTCAGCCTAGTGATGGGAATGGCTCGGGCGGGGCGGGTACCTCAATATCCATACCCCCGTCCCAAGCTATTACGGGTCGGGGCGGGTAATTTTTTGATAAGGGTGATAGATAGATTGCAGTAAACAAAACAAGCGAATTCCTGGTACAAGAACGCACGAGGGGTGCGGACCGAACCAGGCCTACCAAGGAAACTAAACCCGCCAGAAGGCCCATGTTTCTTCATAGGCCTGCAAAACCAAAAGGGAGCAAAAAAGAAGAGGCGAAAGACCAAACGAAGAACCCTTGAAGATAAAATGAAAAAAAAAAAAAAATAGGGACAAGGACGAGTCCCACTGCCGAAGAAAGACTTCTGAAGCTCCGAACTGCAGCCCATACCCTGGGACTTCAACAAAACAGCAACAAGAGCGGCCAAAGCCAATCTTACTACTCAACCCGCGAAACTCTATTCCAACCGAGCCCTTGTTCCCTACTTATTTTACCAGGGGCGGGTAATACCCGCGTGGGTACGGGGCGGGGCGGGGCGGGTCGACCCACTCTTATATGCTATTTGAAAAAAATACAAGCAAAATTTTATTTTTTACAATAAAACGAAGGGGAAAGATTTCATGAATGAATAATAGTGATAATTTATTGAGTAATTGGGTCTATTTAATTGAAAGATCAAGTATAACTAGTTGAAGAAAAGCCAAAATAGGAGATATATGAATGGATGGTGTAAGAAATTGACCTAGAATGGGCCAAGAATGGGGCGGGGCGTGGCAGGGCGGGTCAGAAGTTGATACCCATGCCCCGCCCCATGCTACTACGGGTCGGGTAATACCCGCCCCATCGCGGGTCAGGTTGGGTAATACCCGGCGAGGCGGGTTCAAATTGCCATCCTTAATTCAGCCCCAATTTTGAGTGACCTGCCAGCCTCTAAAATCACACACCATAACCTCATCTAAATCAATTGAACATAAAGTATAAAGCAACCACACAATTCAACCACAACTCCACAACATAAAGTCTACATGTCCACAATTCAACCACAAGTCACAATCACAACTAGACACAAATAACAAGTTCATCATCTCCATATCATCAACCAAAATGATATGAGGATCTCGCTCCAATTCATCTAGCCCATAGTCATCATTTACTTCATGATCTTCATCTAGCTCATAGTCATCAACCTAAGGTTCCCTCTATTGAGTGCAAAGGGGAATTAGAGAGGGGTGACTTTCGAGTTCTAACTCTTAAAAACATTTGAGACTTTTGAAGGAGGGTTGTTTGCGATAGGTGAGAATTGGGATGTTTGGAATTGCGGCTTTAATTGGTTTTCAATCATAGAACTTTTTTCCTTAATCAAAGTCCAAAACCATGTAGTCACACTAGTAGGCGGTTATCGATTTTCTTATCGGTTAGCGGTTAACCATTAAGTAAAATACTACTAACCGAAACCGATAAGAAATTAGCGGTTATTGGTTACCCATTAACCGACTTTATCGGTTTGGTTATCGGTTAAAAGCGATAACCAACTAACCGTTTATCACCCCTAAGTGCACCACTCAAGTGAAGCAATTTAAATAATGACTCAACAAGTTTGTAAATATTTTCATCATCAAAAGACTGAAAAGAAAATTAGTGCTCGACGAATATTTAAATAATGACTCAACAAGGTTGTAAATATTTTCATCATCAAAAGACTGAAAAGAAAATATGCCCAACGAATAGAGGAGTTATCCATTTCTAGTTCGTTCGTCGCCTCGTTCTAATTTTGTATTTTGGGGGTTTGAGGGAATTTTTTTAATATTGACATAGAAGTGTGAGGTTTAGTTTATAGAATTTTTTATTACAATGAAACTTTACACTTTTAGTCTTGTAGGTTTCATTGTTTATTTATTATTTTCAATGAAAATTATTGGGGCTAAAATTTTTAGTCTAAATATATGCCCCGTTTAGTACTCATTCTGTTTTTTGATTTCTGGAAAACAGAAAAGGGAATCTGAAGAAAAGGAATCTGTCGTTTTCTGGAAAACAAAACCTGAAGAAAACTTGTTTAGCTGAGAATTTAGAGAGTTCTGAAACTGAAACCTGGAAATGAAAAATTGTTTAGATACAGTTATTACAAATTGATTTATGTTTTCAATAGCAATCTTGTTTTAAACAAATAAACAAAATACTACTACATCAACCAAACATTTTAAGAAGTACGACTACAATAACAAATACAAATAAGTGAAAACATCAAATAACTCCTTCTTGAAAGTCATTCCACAACTTGTCTGCTATTTCATCACGTCGAATTTCCATTGCCCGAGTTTGAGTTGAACCGACATCATACACTTCAGTTTGTTGTACTCCCTGGACTTCCACATCACACTGTTGGTATTCGTCAAATAAGACGTCTTCATCACAGTGGATCTTG